TTGTGTCCTGGCTTCCGGGCACACGCAGGAGGCAACCAATCGATGTGTCTCTCATATCGATCTCCCCCTCTCTCTCTTCCACTCTCTCTGAAAAGCAATGGACAAAATATTCTCAGGTGAGGATTAAACAAAAAAAGACTGTGGATTCTGGAATGAAACTGGCCAGCCTGAATCCTAGTCCCACTGCTTAACTAGTTTTGTCAAGCTATTTAAAAGTTCTGTGCCTGTTTCCTCACGTGTAAAATGAGGATACTATCAATACCCTTATCATGTTGTAAGGATTAGATAAGAATACATGCAAATCACTTGGCATACTGCTGGCTTATACAAGGCACTTAAACGTTGCTAGACATTGTTATTATTATTTATTATCACTGTTACTACTACTACTAGTAGTATTATGTTCCATGCCTTTAACATATATTAACTGACTACCTACTATGCCTGCACTATTCTAGGCAAATGATTAACACGGTATTCTTTCTCAGGGGATAGTTATGTCTTATAAGAGTATTTCAACCCAAATAACATTTTAGCAGCATTTTCAACTCTTTTCCCTGGCTCATATTCCACTCCATTTTAAGCAGTAACTCCTTCTCTCTCACACCACACCTATCAGACCAGAGATGAGCAACAGGTGACGCCACTTCTAAACGATGGCTAATGCACTATATGAGTTTCCTCATTTGTAAAATCAGAGAAGAGTTAAGTCTTTTTTTTGATCCTGGTAGGAATTAAGTAAGTTAATTCCCTTCTATCTCCCCCACACTTTCCCCATTAAAAATGGGACAGAGGAAAAAGGAAGGCCAAACTTTAGAACTTATAAAAACTACCACATACCCCTCTTTCACATTATGTAGGCCAAGCACCCATGCCCACCCTTCACCCATAGTAGATGGTACAGAATAGGGACTTATGCAAAGCTGCCCATCACTGACACTAAAGGCCAGCCTACTAAAGCTTGGGATCCAGATGACTGCCCCAATAATAAACTGAGTTTAATTTACATTAATCAATTCCTTTCCTCAACAAAGACTGATCTAAGAAGCACCTTGAGTCAGACACAACTCTCAAGAATTGGTGATATAAAACAAGTATCTACCCTGAAGGAGTTCAGACTAAGACAGAGACCAGCGGCAAGAGGACCAGTTAAGAAGTTGTGTTCAAAGACTTCATAAGGCCTGAAATGTTGGGGAATAGAGATGGTGGGAGTAAACATATTAACATGTTAATTATCAGCCAGTAGTCTGAGGTGAGTGGGCAAAAAGAATCACAGCTCCCGAAGCTACTGCTGAAGCTCCACATTGCACATATCGCTTTCTTTCATGGGTTGGCAAATGTCCTTCGGGTCTAATACTTGGGGCGCAAAGTTTTTTTGCTTGAAAGCTCAAAGCGGGGAAAAAGAAAAAGAAAAAAAAACACTTCTCAGTCCGATTTTCCTATTATAGCAACCACTGGGTTTTCCTCCTTTCACAGATCACAGTCAAAATTATGTACTGTCTCCACATTTCTCTCACCTTTCAGACTCACTAAAATTTTTTTGCTGCCTAAAACAATACTTTAAAATGCCAATGCCTTTGGTAGTAAGGCTAAACACAGGAGCACCGCATATAAAGACCTGAGCCCCCTGACTGCTGCTCACCCGCCTGGCCTTCGCCTCCCTCCGCTTCTCGCTCAGAATTTCAGCAGGTCCCCAAAGCGCCCCTCGGCAGGGAGCGCGGAGGAGGCGCTTTCCGCTTCTAGCCTTTGCAGCTCCAATTCCTCTGAAACACTCTCTCCCCTCCAGCCTGTCTGGTTCCTGCTCATCCTTCAGGGCTAAACCTAGAAATCTAGACGCTCTCCTGCCAGCCTCTCCAACTCTGGGGTGCTACGCCGCCCCCAAGCTCACCACTGGAAAACTCTGGGCTTCCTGCCGGGGCGGCCAGCTCGCCCGGGCGCAGCTGGGTCGCATCCAACACCTCAGGTCCCCACC